TCCTTCAAAAGGACTCAGCCAGAGAAAGAGTCATTTTAGCTATTAGTTCAATGATTAATTCATCCAGTAAGGAAGAGACCAAGGGAATTTGAAACTAACCTCCTTGGCCTTCAAGGACCACATCTTAAAAATCATGCTTTAGGCTGTTCCTTGTGGCAAACAGTTCATTTTACACAGCTTCAGACAGAACCCCTGAAAACAAGCTAGCCTTAAAAAACACTGTGTTTTTCTACATTCCTTGCTTTGTTCTTGCACCCATTCCAAGCAGCACCACTCAGTTTCCTGCCTTCAATTGTGTATAATTTTACCAATTTAACACTCTGGATTTAAATTGTCCATGCACATGCCTGCCTCAGGTTGAATTAGATTAGAAAATTCTAATTTAGCTAACCAGCTAAAGTCTTTGGTTAAGTCTTAGGAGAAATTTTCCCCCTCCCTCAAGTTAAATAAACAACAGTTTGTTGGCTTTTTTTTTCTGTGGGATTTCTGTTACTTTGCAGTAGGAACCTGAAATGTCTCAGAGCTTAGGTCTTGAATCAGGGATAGTCTTTTGCCACGTCTTAAGCAAATCTTCCCCATTAATATCTCCCTGTTCTCCCAAATCCCTAGATCCATTCAAGGCAAGACTTCCTCGTCGGCAACAAATGAAGAAAAAATCCAACAGTGTCTCACTACATAAACCTGTATCATCCCTAAAACTCATCCAACCTGATCAATGCAAAAAGGAAGGAGTAACATGTGAAAAATATTATGGGATAATGTAACTTCAAGGTTTGTTTATGGATACAGTCTTCAAAGCATGTACCCAAAGGGCTCAAACTACAATTTCAGAGACCACCTTAATTTTGGAATTTTGCAGCTTCTCAGATTTAAGCTTACAGCCTTAAGAACACTATTGCAACATCTTTTGAGCATTACTACCAATGCAACAGTCATCCTTCAAGAGCGTTTACCTGCAATAGGAATTATGTGGTGTCACATATACGACAGTCTTTTAAAGATCTACTGTGGATTAAAGCTAAAGCTATATATACAGAACATTAGTTTTGATTACAACTATTATGCTACAAAAGAAATGGATCAAAAAACTACATCCTGTAACTTAACACACACCCCACACAAAATACACCGGTCTATTTTATGCCTCTTTTCAGGCTGTTTTTAGGCATTTCTGTAAGAGGCTGAGCGGCCATTTTCTTATCCCTCAGTTCACATCTTTGTGTTTACTTAAGCCAAATTAAAGCCGTGGAATACATGCATGATCCATGAAGACAAACAGTACACTTAATTACATATGTAACATGACTAAAGGAAGGTGGACAAATATTCCCAGCCTTCCATAAGCCTAAGAGGAAATCAAACCGCATATTAGTAGGGAGGCATTTTGCGCTGTATTTATACAATCAAAGGTACATTTAACAGCTATTAACAACAGAGATCCTCATTTGTTATTCGCCTTGTTTACAGGCCTTCAGAGTAAAAAAGAAAACAAGATGATATATCATGGCCTTCCAGAAACATTATGACTTCCTTTTATTCACAGTAGTTAAGAGTAAACGGAAAATTCATTTAATGTAAAATGAAGCCACATAATTCTGTTAATGCCAACCTCTACTTTCACTCTTTTTTAACTGTTCATTGAAGAAAATGCTGAACCCTCTGGGGCACAGAGGGACCTTCCTACCTAATTACTTCTTGCACAGAGATGGGGAAATGACCTCTTCAGACACAATATGAAGAAATACCAAGAAATAGACCAGGTGATAACAGGAACATAACTCTCTCAAGCCAGTAGAAGGAAAAGTCATTTTAAAACATCTCCCTTTCACTCTGCATCAACTGATGCATGTCCTAAAATGCCAAGGGCAGTAAAACACTCAAAAAGCTGCACCAACTGAACATCGGGGAGGTCTGATAAACCTCATGCCACAGAAATGAAAGGTCTGTGTTTATAACTACACACACATTCCCAAGGTCATGGTACTCAAAAAGTAAAGGTAAGACCAATCTTCAGCAATTCTGCAGCAAAGCTCCGAAGCTTTTCACAAACAGGAACGCATATTACGTTTTGTGCTTATCTGAATGCTTTCTACACTAAACTGTATTGGCTGACTTGTACAATTCCAGTAATTCACCTCTGACCTTATGTCAAAATTGGGAAAAGCGTTGCATCTCTCGAACTTGGAATCACAAAATAATTTAGCTTGGGCAGCTGCCCTGCTGCCCAGGAGGCAGTTTGTTGTCCTAGACCTGTGATCGCAGGCTCTCATCCTTCCACTGGGCACCTCCATGAAAAGTCTGACTCCGTCTTTTCTAGAACAACTCATCAGGAAGCTGAAGGCTGCAATTAAATACTCACTGCACCCAGCACAGTGGTCTTCTGCCTGCACGAGCCCAGCTCCTTCGCTGTCCCAGCCAGCCCCCAACCACCTTGGCCAGCTTCCATGGGGGGCTCTGAAGTTTCTCAACAACTTTCCTGTACCGAGGAGCCCAAAACTCAGACTCCAAATGCAGTCTCGCGACTATCACCCTGAGAAACAAATGCCTCCCACAATTCCATTGAGTATGAAACATGAGCGAAGTGAGAAAAGCCCTCTCATTCCAGAGGTGAGTCCATTACCACTCTGGAGTAAGCGCTGAACTCCCACCCTTCTACCTCCAAGGAAATTTCTTGCCCTCATTAGCTACTTCAGGAGCCCCTATCCCACACCTCACAGCTCGACACAGCTCCTGGTGATTTATTTTTCCTCTCTTCGGAAACACCTGCCTTCTGCTACTTTTGGTAGCTCTGCAACGCATTGTTAAATACGTAGAAGACCAGACCACTATCTTACATACGTATCTGGTTTTGAATGTTTTTATTTTGCGCTCCATGACATCGCACTCCTTTTCCTGACTGGATCCCAACCTCAACCTCAGTGTAATTGTGTAGTCACTTACCTTCAAGGCTTGCAGCATAAAACTCACAATTGATCTCGACTCCTGGAAGCTGCTTCTAGCAGCAGTATTGTGCTGGGTCTGTGTGGAGAGGTTCTGGGGGCGGGAAAGGGCATTTGCCCCCTGTAATTTCACGGGCTTCCAGACTGGGTCAGACCGTCTCTGGCCAAGTCGGACTCCCCTGCCATCCCCTCAGGCCAGGGCAGAGCCATCAGCACCTCTGCGAATTGGAATTGCCCTATTTAAGTTGGGGACAAAGGAGCCGCAGGGTGGTTCGTGCTCTGGACCTGCAGTGAGGAGAGGGGGCAGGCGGGGGTTGCCTCCCCACAGCCTCCCGGGCGGGAGCTGCCCCGCCGGGCTGGGCACCACCGGCTGGAGATGGTGGCGGCAGCGCCGCTTGGAGAGCTGGGAAGCGCCTTGTGCTGGAGTGCCGCTGGGCCGAGTGCAGCCAGAGAGGGCTGAGATCTGGGAGAAACGGCCACGCAGACACCGCGTCAGTGTTTTTTGAAGATCTGGTTTTTGTTTCCTCTCTGTCCTCTCAAGTAACTGTTAATAAATTGAACGGTTTTATCCCTAAGCCAAGTCTGTTTTGCCCGGGACCATGGTCGGTGGGTGCTCCCTCTGTTCTTGTCTTGACCCTCGGCCCTTTTATTATATTTTTCTCCTCTCCACCTCACTGAGGGGAGGAGTGAGAGCGCGGCTGAGTGGTAGCTCAGCCACCCCTGGGCTGAACCACGACAAGTATCAGGAACACTAGCAACGCACGTACACTTTTATTTGCAAGCGGGATTGATTTCCCTGTCCAGTAAATTTTGACCCCCTCCGACTGACTTTCTTCAGATGAGGGAAAGCTGCTTCTCTGTTTGAACTTTAAAGTCTGCATTTCCCCAGGAGAACTACACTCTTCGCAGTTCATGTTTTCACTTCACTTTAGCTACAGATACTTTTTCCGTGATGATTCTCTAATGTCCAAGTCACAGTGGAGATGCTTTCAACAACGAAAATGGCTGACACTACATCTTCAACCACATGCAGTGAATCACCTGTTCCTCCTCTTAAAAAAAACCCAAACCAAAAGATCCTCCTTTGATACTGCCCACTGCTCTGGGACAAATCTCATATGCATTAATTATTTAGGAATTCCTAAATCAAAGAAAGACTATTAAGATGGATAGCAACAAAGCATCTTCTCCAAGAAAAACATTTTAGAATGCTTCAGGACATTGAGCTGTAAGTTATTTTTTTGTTCCTTTTTTTTCCTTTTTTTTTTTTTTCCTTCAAGAGCATCCATATCCTATCGATTATATCTCATTTTTTACCTCTAGAAAAAAACACACCACCTTCTGGGATAAGCATATGACGTGACCCCAGTTTGACTGCCTGTGTATTCACTTAAATTTTGACTTTACTGTCTTGGAATAAACACTAGGTGAAAGGAACAGAAATTAAATTATACTCATCAAAATCAAAGCACTAAAATACAAACTCAAAATATGAAGGAACACACATACTCAGAAGGAATAGTTCCTTGGTTGATCCTTCTTTTTGTCTGAAAGCATCATAAAAGAAGTTATGTTTCATTACTGAAAAAACATTTTGCCTTCTTTCACGGTTGCAAAGAAGGGTAATTAAGACTGTCAAGAAAACACATTGAACAGCTGTATATTGTTAACAAAAGCACCATTATACGACTGCTCTGCAAAAAACTGGCAATTTAAACATTCACATTTCCTAGAAGTTAGATATTTTTCCAAGTGCCAGTAGGTACCAAAAAAATGTATGGTGGTTTTTTTTTTTTCTATAAATCTTGGTCGTGTATCAGTCATATTTCAAGCCAGCAGGACGGTCATAGTTTGAGTACATCCACATACATAAGGAAAAGTGGATGACAGTATCACAGCTTTGCCAATTGAAAACTGAGTCACTGAAAAAAAGAAATTTAAGCTGCTTTTTCAACTGGGATTAGCTGAAATTTTCTTAGATTGCAGATATGCCTGAAAACCAAATAAAGACAGAGTAATCCTTCCAGCCTGCACTGAAAAGGACCATTAAGGAATACTTACTCATCGAAGATCAGGTCTGGAGCAAAATAGAGGAACTGGCTGTTTGTATGTTTGTACGATCTCCAACTCAAGGCAAACGATGACAGACACATCCATGAATACTGAATTAAAGTAATTTGGTCCTCGAGAGGCAAGTTTCTAAATCCTAGAGATCAAACCAGAAAACACCCATGAAATACATGGTGCTCTACAAGGGTTGGCCACACCACCACTGAATACACTGCTCATTATTTTTCTAGTATTAATGAACAAGAGCAATACTCCCATAAAGTGTACTTCTGAAAAAAAATAAAACTGTAATTTTTCATTCCAGTGACAAAAACATGTTTTCTTCTTAAGAGGCTATTATTCAAAATGAAAGCTTTTTAAATATCCATCACAGACATATGAAACAAACATTACATAAATCAAAAAAAACGACAATCTTCTCTCAGATGTTCATCTCACACCCCCCCCCGTGAGGGTTTTCAACACAGCCCACAGATTAAAGATGCAATTTGTCAAGCAAATAGTTCATTAAGCTAAAAGAAACAGTGAAGAGAAATTTCACCAAATGCCTCGTGGTCCTACCTGGAAGTATCTTTGCCCACTTCACCACTTGAATCATCTGCTTGCCAGCCAGGCGGTTTAAGGTGGAAAGCAGGTACTCCGCTGTGTCTGGCTTCGAACTGTCGTATCCTGCGTACACGATCTCCGGTTCAATGCTTTCAAGGATCTTGACAGGAGAGGGAGTAAGTGCTGGTGAGATAGCAGACATGTGGGGGACAAGTGCTGTGTTTACGGAGGGCTCGGTCACGGGCGCGATGTACGTCGTCCCTTCCTCAGGGCTCTGGGGTCTGCCGCTGCTGGGGCTGCTCCTCATGCATCCCTTTCAATTTCCCCAATTTTTTGGACTTGCGGGCTGTGAAGATGAACAGCACAATAACTAAGTTAGTACAGAAAGCTGGTGCATTCCTGGCTTTATAGCAATTGGAAGCAGAAGTATCACCTCAAAGCTCTCAAGTGAAACAGGTGAAGGACCTTAAGAAATACCTCACTGCCTGCAGCATCATTACACTGGAAAAAGGACCAAAAGACACATATAAGCTCATTTTCATTGCTTTACTGAATGTTTTTGTAAGTGATGGAACATCCAGTATCTGTCACCATACAGACATGCCTAAAACATCCTAACTACTGTGGTCGGTGTCGATTAAACATTTTAGAAGTTTGTTTTGCAGTTTAAGTGAATCACTTATCACCTACAAGTCTGCAATTCATGTTCTCAATTGCATTTGGTCATCACAAGGAATCTCACTGGCAATGCCTAAAATTAACAGACCCGGAGCCCTCCTAAGATTTTGAGTCCTAGTGCCCACCCTGGCTGTGCCTCAGTGTGAAACGCAGTCAATCCATTTGGAACAGCCTCAGCTAGTCAAATCCCTTCGCTTTTGCTGCTCTGATTCTTCCAATAAGAGCTTCGTCCCCTTCTCTCGCGTAGTTCCGAAATAACACTAAAAATATTTGCCCAGTTAAAGAAAGAACAGAGCCTCGTGTAACACCTTTCTCACTGCTATCAACATTTCTCTAAAAATTGCCCTCCCCCCCCTTTTTTTTTTCCTTTTCTTCTTTTTCTTTAATGATACCCTCCCCACTTTACTAAGTATTCTTAGAGGA